GCAATCTGCAGGAAGAGCCACGTTGCCCTAGAATCGCTCTGAGGAGAAATCAGAGCTTCGATCATGCTAGATGCCAATCGTAAACATTATTGATTTCTTTGGAAATTGTATTATCGAGACTCTCTTGCACTGTTCAAGTAATATTATTAGCGAAAGTTTACAACTTACAAGTTACCAATATTAAACAGTTCTTAAGCTCTAATGACAAGTTTAGTGATGGAATAAGCGTAGTTTCATAAGACTATTTACAAATGTTTAATGATTATATTAAAGATTGTTTGATATAAATATTAAAAGTTTGCGAAGTGCAAGCGACTGAATGAATCTATAAATAAATTTTATAAATTAATAAGATTATAAAATCACCTGTTGCCTATTTTGAAATATTGCAAAATCGTGCAGCAACTTGCAAATTATCAATTCGCTAATATTATCATTTTCTAAATTATCGTGCAAGAGAATCTGTATAAGAATAGCATGAATACTTTTTATGGAAAATGTTTCAGGTACCATCGACCGGCGCTGGACTCGAGGACGTACGACTTAAAGAAGCAAGATCAGAAGAAAGAACAGCAGAATACTCAGAGAGAGGAGACTCAGGAGGAAGGCGATGGTTATGAGACTTCCGATGATGAGAGCTGCGATTTGGAGAATGGAGATTTCGATACCATGAGCTCTTGCAGGAGTCGAAGCAGAAGCTGTTGCTCCGTTACCACAGTGGCCAACGACGATTTCGAATACTTTCAACGTAAGGGAACTAAGGTAACATTTCCAGCAGCACCCTTTCATACTTCCTAAAGCGTCTTACAATTTTCATAAAGGAACATTTGAGAAACTTACAAACTTGTACTCTATTTTTACATTTTTTTTGGAAACATTGTTCCTTTTTCTCTTTTTAATTTTTACCTCGTTTTATTTTCATTGATGTAAGTTAGGAAATGGAATAGAAGAAACACATAATAATCTTTACAATTTAGATTTAGTATTTATATTGGTACAATAACTTTCTTCTTTTCAAAACGTAACTTTTAGTTTCAAAGAGTTTTGTTGTATATTTTGTTGGAGTGCAAAGGGTTGGATTCGAAGTCGTAGTTACCAAAGTCCATGTAACGTTTTCGCTGCAATTTACACATACGTCATTTGAACTGTTAATTTAATTAGTACATCTGCTTTAACAAAATTTCATAGCAAAAGTAACAAACAATGTGTTAAAAGGAACATCATCGGTTAAACTCAAACTCAATTCAACACTTCTAATGGAAGAAAAGGTGCAATTCCTGAAGTGAAAACTATGCTCGTATATTATATTTTAGTAGCCGTAAAGGTGAAACTTGTACCGAATTCCCATGATTTTTTCCATCTCACACCACCGCCACAGCTTTCCATTTATCACGCCAAAGTCGGCAACGAAAATGTGCTGAAACAAATACAATACTATCGCTTGAAATAAAGCCATTTCTAATGGAAAAAATATGCAATTCCAAAAGCGAAGTAGCTGCATTCTAGCAGCGCGCAATGAATTCGTTAAACGTACACCAGATTGCTATAGTCTTCTCCATTGCACATCACCACCAGCTTCCCATTTATCACATGAAATTCCACGCAAACCACGTTGAATCATACTTCAAATGTGCCGAAACAAGCACTAGCTTAAAATAAACCTCACGATGAAATGTTTCTGATATAAGAAAAAAAATGTATACTCCTAAAAGCAGAGTTCCTAACATTTTAATAGCGCAATGAACGCGTTAAATTTACATCAAATTGACACAGTCTTCTTCATCGCACATAATCACCAACTTTCCATTTATCATCTGAAATTCCAAGCAAATCACGCTTAAACATACTTGGCGACGAAAATTTGCCGACACCAACATTATCATTCAGACCTAAGATACAGCCATTTTTTACATTAAAAAATATACAATTCCAAAAGCGGAGCAACTTAACAACGAACGCATTAGACTTACACCAAACTGCCATAATCTTCTATATCGCACATTACCATCAAGTTTCCAATTATCACCTAGAAGTCTACACTAAACCTCGTTGAAAAATCCATCGCGAACAAACCAACAAAACTATCTCCATTTTACCCATGCACATTGTCGGTGAAAAGTGCGAGGACCATTGGAATTACTTCATCGAGAACATGATTGGCCTTTCATCGATTGCATAATGGAGGATCGTGAGAACGTGCTGTTTTGCAGGTGGAGCTGCTGCCCTCGAAGAGAGCCAGCGAGGTAAAGGTCAACATGCGATCTTTCACGCCGAGGATCATCGAGAACGGGACGGAAGAGAGGAGGAACAATCTGATAGACACGAAGCCGAGCATACAATCGTATCATTTGAAGAAAACGAGAATAGGTCCTGGCTACTCGATGAACGATCTCGACAAGCTCACAGTCGATCGGAGGATGCCGAATCTTTCGATCGAGAGCTTGAAGAGCACCCTAAAAAACTCGGACGTCAGCTACCTGGACAATGGGGACATCTGCAGGCACGACATTGGCGGATCTGCACCTGACTTCAAGAAAATCTTCGTTACTGAATTTATATGAAAATTCTGGAGGAGAGAATTTGTGGAAATTTCTTTGGAAAGAACGATCTGTGTTTTAGTGCACTCTAATTTTCTGACCCATTTTTCGTCTTTTTTCTTTTTTGTTTGTTTTTTTTTCTTGATAGAATTTGACTAGTAGAATTAAAAAGGATACCAATTTTAAATTTAGGGTGGCATCTTTAGCCTAAATTTAGACCTGATTACATCATAATCAGGATAGTCTAATTGTTACGCTTGAAACTAACTTCATCAGGTCTATTATATAATACAAATACGCTATCGAAGCATACAGAAGTTAATGGAAAATTTACAGTGCCCTGAGGTGAAGTCAATGATTAAAAGCAATGATAGCATGATAGCCAATGATCTTAGTAAAGTAGGTTGGAGAAGATCTTGGATGAAGTAACAATAGAGTAAAAGAATAACGAGCATAAGGAAGATTGTACAAAGTGTTCATTGTAATATAAGCCAATATTATAATTAATTTCTTTTAAGAAGCTAAGGTATATCTTGTACAAAACAATGGCGAGTCATTTCTGAAAAAAAGCGTAAGACTTTGGCACGAGAGGAATGGAAAGACTGTACAAAGTATTCTTTCACAAAGAGACGTGTTCTTCTTTTAGAAAAATTAGGACTGATCTTGCATTAGAAATCTTATATATAGAATCGATTTTGTAAAATGTACAGAATTTTTCTTTATACAAGAAGATCGTTAAGGCTGTAGAAAAATTTGCTCTTTTACGAAAGCGAGGGTCGTGCCTAAGTAGAAATCGCGAGGTAATCTCCCGCAGTTCCTCTACGCCTAAGATCTAGAAAATTATATAACAACCACACGGAAGTAGCCGGATTGGAAAGTTTGCAAGAATGTAGCCAGCCCGGTTAAAGAAGATAATTAATCCAATTGTCAATTTCTTGTTTTCTCGTTCGATAATTATTGGCTTTTCAAGGTTCGAATAAATACAATCAGGATGCGGAAGGACGCATTTAAGTTTTTCCAACAGCTAATTACCGATATTTGAACGAGGATAGATCGAAGTTCGATTTAAAGATCGTACGAGAGTGTGTGCGCTATATAGAGATACAAATGGAAAGGAAAATTAATTAAATTGTGCGTTTCCTATTTTCTGCTCGATAACTATCGATTTTCCAAAGCTTAATATAAATAGAGTGCAAGAAGATTCCTTTAAACCTTCGCAGGTTTTCGTGTAATTGCCTGAATGATATTCCAACGACGATAGATTAAAACTCGATTAAAAAATCGTATGAAAGCGTGTACGCGATACGGGGAAACAAATGGAAAGGAAAATTCGAAAAAACTGATTTGAAACGGTGATTCTGCGTTTTAATAGAACGATACATTGCGGTGCGTCATCTGTCCATAAATCACGACCGGCCGACGTAATAACTTATGGGTCTGGAATCGAAATTGCAACGAGGCTGAGTTACGATCCGTATAGATACGAGACAATGTCTAAACAGAAATGGTGTAAAATATGTGTAAAATATGTGCTCCCGTTGTTCCCACAATCCCGTATCGGCCATTTACGTAACGCGAGATGTTTTTGAAAACAACATGTCCAACGCCTTCGATTATTGTATAAAGATCGTTTTGTATATATCTTGTACATTTTGTACGGTATTATTTAATTCATTAAATATACATATATGTGTACGTGGCAACACGTGTGTTCACAGGTGCGTTTGTCCCGTTTAATTCCCAGCTCGGGCCGATACAGAGAATAATTAACGATCATAACAGACATAACAGGGAATAAAAATAACAATAAATTGACAAAAAATAACGAGAATAAAGAGAGAGTATCTCTTTTATCTTGATTACCTTTATCGATATAAAGAAAATCTTTCAAAGTTGAATGAAAATGAAGAATATTGTAATTCATGATTTTTTACCATGAAGTCATTGGCTTCAAGTTTTCAATATTCTAGATGTCTTCTTAGAAGGGACTAGATGTTTTGTCATAAACCAATCGATACATTTATTTTATTCTTTATAAGAAAATATTAAAGTATCTCGACCTAGTTTTGTTGACAACTCTTGAAATTTTATGATCCAATCAACTTTCTTCAAAGTTAGGATGTTCGTTAATAACAATAAAAAGACACAATTGGATCTGAATAATCCAAAAAAAGTTTAAGTTCGTAAAACTTGTCGTATAAAAAATAAAAAGAAAGAATTAAGAATTAAGAATTTATTTCTATGATAGAATTCTTATAAAAATAGGGAAAAAAGAAAAAAAAATTACGAAAGTTTACAAAATCACGATAGAGTCTCGATCTTCGAGTAGATAAATATCTTCCTCAGCTTTAACTAGTGATTAGAATCGTAGGCGATCGTGAAATCTTCTCACAGCAATCTGATTGCAATTACGTGGCACGTGTGTACCCAGTATAGTTGTTTTTCCTTGACTTGTTGCAGAGATTACACGTGTACGCCCTCGGATAGGTCCTAATCTTCGTTTAATTAACTAATTAATCTGTATACATACTGTCTTTTTATTACTCTAACGTTGACTAGCAATACACGGTTTGGCATCGTTAATCGTACCTCTAATTGTTCTCGCCAGTGGCGTAGAGATTGATTATCCATTCGAGGGAAAAAGGAGATACGTGAGTATGTGTTGAAGCTGAGATCGCGTTATTGTCACGTTGCTACGTCGATTAATTGATTTTCGACATTTTGATATCGAAGAGAATCGAACGTATATCATTGTGTCAATTTGTCAGAGAAACGCTCGTCGATGCTCGCTGGTTCCATAGCCTCAATTAATTAGAGTATATAATCAGAGAACGATTAATTAGAGCATATCGTTATAAATACAAGGACTATGATAAAGCTTTGAAAGTAACACTTCTAACGAGCAATTAATTAACTTATCGCTGTCTAAACTATTCGAGTATTTTAAGAAATATCGCGATATATTATCCACAGAGTACGGATTTTCTATGCAATTTTATATTTTTACAAACATAGCTCACGATATATAGTATCGATATCTATGCATTTTGTACAAAGATGTATAAAATATCCAAAGTAAAGTATTCCGAATGAAAAGAAACTTTACTTTGGGTGCGTTCGTTTAATCGTGTTTTTATAAAAATCTAAATTTGCATAAACATCCGTAGTCTACTACGAAACTTATTGAGAAACAATCTGCGTAGAGATTCGTGTCACCTACTAAAAATTATATTCCGTATCTTTGATAAATCTTTTGCACATTGCACGCATTCTATGCTGTGTAATTGCCACGAACGTTTTATGACCCGCAGTGCAATTATCGATATCGTGTAATTAAATATTACAAGGCGACAAATCGTATCTTTACAATCCAAATTGTTCCACGCTACTGTATAAATATAAATCCGCTCGCTTTGGTAAAAATTCATTGCAACGTAGATCTACGATATTGATCCTGAGATCAATGGCTCGCGTAGACGAGATCGTTTCCGCGAAAGATTGCCTCGATCATCGACTTCCGGTTGAACTTTCCTCCCCTGGACTCAACGATCGCCACTAGTTGCTGATATCGCTTCCAGGCGGTCACCGAGGCCGCTTCCCCTTCCGGCGTGTTCTTAATCTTGTGATATACGTCCGTACTCCTAACCGCAGCCTCGGAAGTCTGACAAATGCTTTCCGAATCCGGTATCATCTGAAATTTGAGAAAAAAACATTTTTAACTCGCAATTGCTATCGTCGGATCGTAAATCGCTCACAAGACTTCGACACGAGTTATTTAATTTTTAAAGTTGGTTTTTTTAGCTTCTAAATTTTATATTGTTACTAAAATAACCTTGGAAATGGAATGTATATAAAGATTTGCTTCGCTCACTATATATACTAATATAACAAGTATTCTAGATATTTTGTATATTTTTCTGAACTTTTGCACTTTTAGATTGTCTAGTAATTTCCTACAACCTAGCAATCTTGAAAATTCTTTTCTCTTAACAAAATTTCCTTAATTCGATATTTCAACCTGTTTCATTCAATTTCTGACTTGGAAAATCTATTTGATCGGATTATAATATACTGTTGTACTTAGGTAAAGTGATTATAAAACATAAAATTGTTAAAGGTCGTAGCAATCAAAGCGTAGTTAAAGTACCTTTTCAAGAGTAAGCCAGATATCCAGACACTTTTAAGCGACAGTATATATTACGATTACTCTCTTTTAAAAAGTATATACACTCGCTCGTTCGTCTTTTGTTCTCATTTAAGGTTTCATCTTTGAGAGAGTTACTTCTTACAAACCATTTTAAAAGCTCGTTGCTTTCATTTGCTAAATTGTGCAAGCTCTTAAGCTCGCCAGACATTATTCCATCGGCCGAAAGGGATCTAAATCACCGGGCCGTTCTTTTTACGTCTCAGCCCCAATTAAAATTCACTTTTATTCTGCAAACACGAGCCCAATTGTATTACAATCGTTCCAGTTAATCCTGGAAAATCCTCGCTATTCTCTTCTTAACGTTCTCGTTTCGTTATCCCTCTTTATTTCAACGAATACGCTAAAGTATTACCAATTACCATCTTTCTCGGCGGACGATCCTCTCGAAACTCTCGACTTTCCTCGAATTCAAAGTCTCTCTCAGATTAGTTAAGTTACTTCGCCTGAATCCACGCAATTTAAATTCCAGCAACTTGCATTCCCCTTATTAGCTTAGAATTGTCATTCAAAATTGTTATTCATGCTGTATATTAATTTCTTTACTGAACATACGTTTGCACGTTTGTAAGTGTATATTTGAACGTTTTCTAACTATACGTACATCTTTAAATTGGTTAAAAAATTCTAAGAGTATGATTATGACAGTCGTATTACACTATAATGCTAATAAAATTTCAAAAAGTTTTGCATGAGACGTATAATATATCCGAATATTCAGTTGATAAATGTTCGATAAATATTCAGTGATAAATGATGAAATACTTTGGCGAGCAACGCTGTAATTATTCCCTGAGTAACGTGATGTCACTACAATTTACGACTTAACTTGTATTCTCTTCAAGAAGATTATTCGACTACGAGTTGAATTCGTATAACTCATTCGGCTAATCTGAACCAGGCTTAAGGCAGCGATTAATTCCCTAACAAATTCTCCGCTATTATTCGGATCGCTCGGCTAATTATTAGCAATTTTCCTAGCTACTGTAATTTGCTCGACACGCTGGAAAAGCGGTCGGTTTGATCACGCCTCTCGATCTCTCGTCGCTTGCTCAGGTTGACCGATGTTTGTAGGACGCCGTGTATACAGATGTAACACAAGCCTAAAGCCAGCCCCTCGAAATCAATACTCGGGATTACACTGTTACTAAGGATTCCCATCCCCCATCGCCAGATTCACCCCCGTGTGCCAGCCACTGGCGGGGTTCAATGGCCAAAATACGGGCCTTCGAACGTGTTACACTTTCGAAAACGAACATACACACACGCGCGCGCGCGCGCGCACTACCCTTCGATTGTCTTCGTTTCTCTCTTCTCTTTTCCCTTCCTTTCTTTTTGACCATTCAGAGTTTTCAGAACAACTCGACTCGATTGCGTGGAAAAGCGTTGAAAGCGAATTGCTTTATCTCGACGGTTGCAACTTTTAAAAAGCATTTCACTGTTCCTCGATTCGCTGACCGTTGGAACAGAGTAAGATGGACAGTCGAAAACAATGAAGCTTCGAGTAGCTCTTTTTATTACCCTTTTTATTGCAAATGAAAATGTAGTCGTTTCTTTCGCTGTCTTCTTTTAAACTTATTCGTTTTAGTCGCATCGTTGTAGCAGGACAGTTGCACAGTTAGAATTCTAGATTGAACTTTATAGTCCATAATTTTTGGAAAAGCGGTTTTAATGTTTAACGTTCGAGTTATGTCTCAAGCGAGTAACATTAACATTAAAATACGATGTAATAGTAAAAAAATTTATCGAACATTAATTTTTCTACGTATTACGTACGTACGTGCAAAGGTATGTGGTCCCACGTTTAGTTCTAAGAGAACATAATTTAGTTACAATATTACGAATAATTGACCTGCAACGATTTTATCATTCGTTCTTATTACATTACATTTTATCATTCGTTCTTATTGTATCTCGTGATACAAAGCTTTCTAAAGCTTCTTATAAATGTCACAAGAAGGCGTTGAATACTGCTTTTAATCATAACTTTCCTATTAAGACACATAGTTTAGCGACATTTATCTGTTGTTAATACAAACTGAGTTAAATATCCACAAACGACTATGTCATATTACACACTCGAGAAACAAATAAAATTCTCATTGTTGTCAAATAGAATGCGTGCCTTTACATAACAAAAGACAAAAAGTATGTTAATCTAAATATTATCAAGCACTATAGTGCTTAAATATTAATAAGAATTTCTCTATTAACAACGTTATCTTCTTCCCAGGTTTGTCAAGATTGAAAAGAAACGAGAATAGTTTAACGTCCGGAAGGTTGCGATTTTATGGTAGAAATATCGTCAAAGTTTCTATTTGATCGTCAATAAGATGGAACAATAATTCTGATGAGCTTGTAGCCCAGGAATTGCTACTTTTATGACTGCAAAAAAGTTAGAATATCTTCCCCCTCTATTTACGCTGGAGAAGTTTTAAGCACAGGCTATAGGAAGTTTTGAAAGACTCTGGCAGCCACTTTAACTTTTTCCACTTCCGCTCTGAGCAACGATAAACATTTATCTTCTTCGAAAATTCGCGAACACGAGCGTTTTAACTTGGCTAACAGTCATGGAAGAACAGTTATTCGCCAAATTCCTAGAATATTGTCGACGAAACACACGAACGAGTTAAAATAGGACATTGAGTCTTCATTTATTACGTAAACTCTGTTCCATTTTTATTTCATTCCGCTTTATATTCGAGCATTTGGTCCCTCCTATATCTTTGATTGGTTGTATGAATGTAAATTGATTGAAATAATTAGAGAATTGAGTGTTATGGTTGTATATATTTGTTTAATGATTGTGTCAATTTACAGATACACGATTGTTTGCAAGTGCGTGATAAACTTTGATAATATCAGTTAATTTGACAAGATATACACGATATTCTTCTTTGGCTTTTACGACCATCTGCCTCGTAAATCATTGAGCAAAACGGAGCTGTTTACTAAATAGTATTCAGATTTAAAAATTATGAGATTTAATTTAAATCTATCGACGCTTTAAAAATATTTTTGCTTTGGACTTAAGGAATTTTGTAAGACCACGTAACCCAAAAGGTAACAGTATAAAATCAGTTTAATAACTACGAAAAGTATTTGCATCTATACTTATTTTCAAATAGAACGTCTTTTATTTATCAAGTAATATCTATTATTACTTATGTACTTCATTTTCACAGTACCAAACTTTTGTAGGCACGTATACGAAATTTAACAAGCTTGTAGCTAATTACTTGCTGCAATAAATGTTATAATATATACAGTGCAAATACTTTTTCTAGCCACTGTACAATTATAGGAAAGTAATTTGAAAAAACTTGTAAGACTAATTATTTATCGAGATTTCATAACAGAACGATAAAACCCTATTTCTCTCGTAGACGATATTTCCAGTGTCGTTTCCCGACGCCTTCGTAGCACAGTCTTAAACTTTCGAGCAGCAATTAACAAGTTTAATTAGCGCTAATTGCGCTATCGAGAGTGAAAAACCTCGATAAACCGCCTAACGGCTAGCAATTAAGCTTTGAACTATACCGACTCTTGATGGAGGATCTCTGCACGTTGGAGCGTATTCTTATCTTTAATACCGACAGCAAAAACATCGATCGAATCGGCCGACCTAGCAGGAAATTAAACGTTCAGATTTAATTGAAGCCTCGCTGAAACAACTACCAATTATCCAACTTCTACGTTCACTTGAGTATAAGATATATTAACATGGAAACTGTCAAGTAACTATTAATTAAATTTCAGAGTTTGACTCAGAGTAAATAGCGGATCAGAGAGCGAAGCTCTGCATTGAATGGCGTCGTCGAGATTTCATCGAACTCACCTCGATTATATCGGCGTCCTGCGCTGCTGCTGCTGCTCTGTCTCGTCTTTCCTCTCGTGGATCCAGTTAGGGAACGGGTTAAGGTCGTTTCTCACGGTGATACTTGCTGCAATTTATCGTGGAAATCGGAGACGGTTGGATGGAACGCCGCGAAAGCGGATTCGGAGCACAGCACGGTCCAAGAGTAACTGAAGAAGGCCAACAAACGGCGACCATCAGCTGGTTTCCCGATTACTTTGCCCCCTCCGTAGCCCATGGGGAACCCACATGTGCCGGCCATATGGGGGGGAAAAAGTTAGTGGAGGGCTCGAGAGACAAACGTGGAGTCCACCTCTTTCGTTTGCACCCTCGGTTTCGAGCCCCCGCTTCCGGCCTCTACGCGCGTGCCAACAATTTTTTAAACTTGCAAAGATTTCCTCGGTGCCTCGTGTTACAGTGGAATTCATCACTTACCTGTCCATGGAGATGCAAACAATAGATGTATCGTGTTTCATAACCAGATTGCGAATGCCTATGCTAATTCATATTTTTATCAATGCGATTAAATGATATTTAAGTAGAAATTTGTTTTACGTATTAAATATTATACCGCGTTACCATCAATCTTTAGTAGGTATTAGCATTACATGTTTAATATTATTTGAAATTTCGCTCTAGATATTTTATGCATTTTTTCTTTAATAATTATAGAATCTCATTTGAATTTTCAACTCTTACACAGGGTATAAGATAATAGAAAAAGTATATGATACGATACAATAATGTTTGATTAAAGGTATGCAAAATTAATTAGTTACGCTTAGAATATAAAAGAACCACGCTTAAGTTATTTTTTTACATTTATAGTCTAATGACTTTGTAAAAGCCTAGTAATTGTTCTAATTACCGATTCGTCATTGAGTCGTACATTTTATTACATTTACTGCAAAAATTGGTTAAAGTCACTTCTTACGAGCAATACCATGATAGAGGTCACATAAGTGGATTTAATCATTGCATTAATTAAAATTTAAGGATCAAGCAGGGAAATAACGAATAAGAGTTACATAAACATTACTGGAAGGCATAAATGAATTACATATTACTTCATCAAGGTGCAAAGAATTTATTATAATGATAAATAACATATATAAAATCTCATTGGACAAATCAGAAAGGATATCATACATTAATCGTGCTTGAAGATTCCAACTATTGCGCGCCTTGTCACTGAGTTGAGCCAAATGGCAATTAACGTCGATTTGCCGATAACTCGCTTGCATAAGTATATCTATGCGCATCTACGATGCAAACACAGGAACGACTAGGTTTACAGACAGTTTAATTAAAGGCTCTGATATCCAGTATAGCAAAGCAGCTCCAAATGGCAGTTTAAACAAACAGAAGTTATCTACACAGAAGGATATTCTGAATCGGACATCGACCCAGGTTCATCTCTAAATGCTATTACGTAACAAGCAAGCTAATCTTTTAATCAAGAATTACCATCAATCAAAACTCTGAAAGAGAATTACGTTTACCGACGAACGTGAGAGACGTTTGGACAAATTTTTTGTTCTCTATATACGGTGGTTACAAAAAAGTATTTTTATTTAAAAAAGTATTTTATACTTTGTTGTATCGGTTATAAAATGTATATATTAATTAATTAGATTCAAATATATTAAATTTCGTGTCATTTAGTACTTCCATATGACTAGAGAAAATTGAAATGCTGTCAAAAATGGGATATAATACCTGTTTAAAAAAGTCGCTTTCTTGGAGAACAAACGTATATGCTAATATTTTTTATAGCCACTGTAATATAATACAATTTGGACGATGGGATATGTTGCTTAATTCTATGGTTCCAGGGCAACTAACGTCTATTCGAGACACGTACCGCGCATTAATTCCACGTGACAAGCATCCGCAAATGCAAAGCAGAATCAATGTATAATGAAAATTTGGATCATTAGATCAAAGTCATAGTCACGGTAGACAGTCATTTTCAAATTATAGTAACTTCTTTAGTGATCAAACAGAAATATAACTTTGATGGATATTTTACAAATATTTCTTTAATTTATAACTTGTCGTAAAATCACTGTCTCATCTCCAAGATCTGGATCATCAAACATTCAAATATTAATTATCTCGTCTATGAAAAATTAGAAAAATATTCGAGGAATTCTATCGATATCTCATAAATATTTGCTTCATTTATAATACTACGTACTTTGTGCAGTTATAATTTTTCTATTACTGTCCAAGCGGTCCGCAAAGTGATATATTGCGACAAAAGGCAGTGAATTCGCGTGGAGAACGTGTCGGTTCAGCTCGATCTGTCTGCATTCCACGATGTCCACGATATTGTCATGGGGACTTCTGGCAAGCCATTGTGGAACGTCGGGGGAATCGAGTAAATTGGCTGAATTGCCACGTCCGAGAATCGTAACACGTCGATGCAGACACGAGATAAAATCACTCGAATTACAGCGTAGAATAGTTTGGACAGAGATGCTGCTGTTTCCATGCACAATATGCCCGGATCTTCCGGGATCTTTCAGCTATTTCTCAGTGAGAGAAACCGTCCAAATTAACTGTCTCGATTTTTTGAAGGCGAATCAAGTTGTTTCTGAAGCTTATTCCAACAGAGTTAAAATTTATATGTCCCTATATCTACAGGAATTTAATAGCGATCTTAACTCGCACCTCCATGTTCATCTATATGAATTTATATTAGTCGTCTCAACCGATTTTATAGAAGCAGAATTTAACACTAAGGCCACTAATTTATAACACGTGCATCTAAATGTATATATTAACAAAGACTATTATAAAAGTAAGTAATATGTTAAAAATAAATAGTTACACTTTCGTAATTTTTTCTTACAGAATTTTTTTCTCTTTCTTGTTTTAATTTGTAATCTTTCGTAGAAATGTTGTAGAGTTAAGAGACTACATTCTTGAGGATTTGCACGATTTTTCTTTGCAAAACGTTTAAATAGATACACATGTTCTTTCGTGTATTTCCGTTTTGATTCCTCTGGTGCAAGTTTTAATACTTTGCTTGTAATCTCAAATAATTGAATGTTCTAGTATCGACGAATCGACATTTCAACGAAGGATAACATTAATCATCTGTCAGTAATCATCAATTAACATTAAACAACTGCATATTTGTAGCAATTATAAGAACAACAAATGCCAGATTCATAATTGCACCGAGTATGATAATTCCTACCAAGAAAGCAACTAAAAGTTTTTATACCCAGTAAAAATTCTCTGATTCGCTACTACAATCATTTTCCAGCTTAATATGCAGTTCAGGCATATTTCTGCAGGTCTTGAATGTAACGCGAAAGCTATTTCCCTCGCAGCTCGAGAAAAGAGGCAAAGCATGAAGATGTTAAAACACAAAATGCGATGCGTACGCCGGCAATAAAAGTCTCGCGGCCGTAACTACGAAAGTGAAAAGTTTTGTTCAACGACAGATGGTTCCAGCATGTGCAGCGAGTTGCAAGATATTAAAAAAAAAAGTTGGACGTTCCCATTGGCGCGATAAAAACCCGGCATAAATTATCACGTGTGTCTCTGTACAAACTTCCATCCGTATATTGTATTATGTCTCTCTCTCTCTCTCTCTTTCCGTGTAGCATCCTCACGCTAAATTATTTCGTCTGAAATTTAATTATGGAAACTTGAGAAGTTAATTTATACCGACATACTTCTCATCGCGAGCGAGTAGAATTTCGGAACGAATGTTTGTAATAATTTAAACAAAATTACAGACGCAGGACGATACATCGATCAGTTGGGTCAGAAAATTGATTCCATTCGAAATCATCAAATCCCCCAGCTGCGCCTATTCTTTAATGGCCAATCGGCGCGTGCAACATAAAGGCACACGACACCACTCTTACAGCTGCCGGAAGTATACATCTGCTGCCAGTTTCTACTAACCGTGCCGTGAAGCTTGGCCCACCTTTCCACCGCAACGCGGCATTTTTCAACATTGTTTCCTGGTTACTTCGTTTATTTCTCGATATTATTATTCGAGATATTCATTGCCATAATAATCTATAAACTGTGGATTCTTATCCACTCGTGGGGGATACACATAACATGTGAAAATACAGAAAACATCCAAAGTACAGTACTCATTATGGTATTTAGCTTCTGCTTAGATTCTATCTTTCAAATTGTGTTTGTAGAAACATAAAATTGCATAGGTATCTGCGAACTATGGACAGCGTTTTTCGGTGATCGATATTTTTTTGAAATTCATATTACATAAAAATAGATGGTCAGATTTTATTAAAAGTGTATCTTTATACAGTATGAAAAATCGTAGGCTACTAGACTATTATAAATAAAAGGAAATCATCGCTGAAAAGAGAAAACACTATATATAAGCCATCAAAAGAAACGGTGTATATATTATTCAACAGCGTCTTTAAATATTTTTAAAATTCCACTGCTAATTTATGCCCAATATTTCCAGGAAAAGCGATAAGAAGATCACCATTGAAAACATCATGAAAGAAGAAAGGTGGACTCCCCCTCTCACATTTTGAAAAATCAAAAACATCTGCCAGGAAACAGTGATCTTTGATTAGGGCCTGGCTCGTGCCACACACCTAGGTTTCTCAATCCTTGGCTGACGAAGCTCGAAACGTTCGGTGAAAGGCAACGAAAATTCCACACAAAGGATCTGCCAAGTTCCGTAACATTAAACGAAATAACTTGGAATTTAAAAAATCGGAAAAATTCAAGAAGCGAGGTAACGCATTCAATTACTCTGACTATCAGCGTGTCCGCTATCAAATATTGAACTAATTAACTTTATGTAGCCGAAGACACGCACGCTTCATCAAATGCGATACGAACAAGGAAACCAACTCGATATCGACAGTCCTGATACTGCAATTGGTCTTGGAAAGAATGTTGGTAACCGGTTCCCAAGTTTAATTAGCACATTACAAGGGTAAATGCATCAGCAGATCTGCCTTCGATCTTTTAAACAAACTTCCTTACCAAGCTTCTGATGGAATTTACCTTTAGTTAACGACGAGGAGTTTATCGTTTGCTTCTTCGTGTTTCATAGCGATAGTATTTACCTTCTTTTTCCAGAAGCCACCAACATCTTCGTCCCTCCGTGGAAGATAAATGAACGCAATTGTGGAGACAACTGCTCGAGATGGGAGAAAAAATTTTCAAGTATGTGCTGCACCTGTAAAACAGTGTATACAATTCTTCAACATCTTAGGTTTATCAGCAGAAACAATTTATCTCTCGTTGCATTGGTCGGTTTGCACTCCCGAAAATCTTTTCTTGATTATTTGAATGTAAATTGATTGAAATAATTACAGGATTTTATATCGTAGCTGTTGTTCATATATTCTTGTACGATAGCCTTTGAAACTATTTTTCTTCTTATCTGTTCGAACATTTTTATAAAAAGTGTTAATTTCATATAAATGAATTGATACAAATTTATCAAATATACATAGTTGA